CGAAGCACTGCCGCTCGGATACTCCCTGGGGGAAACTGAGGTGCGCGGATCCAGGCACTGCACCGCAGAAACAGACCCAGCCACTCTGCTCAAGACAGGGAAACTGAGGCACCAACAGCGACACTCCACCAGGGAACCTGAGGGTTAGCCAGCAAGTGCTGCCAGCGGAAACAGACCTGTTCATTGTAGTCCCATCACAGAATAGGCCGAAATCCCGTGCTGCCAGGAAAACAGCCCTGGCCACGTGGGTGAGAGTATTTAAGGAAACTGAGGCCAGGCCTCATCAGGCACAGACAACAAACCTGGCCCACTAAGAAACTGACGCAGGGTGACTCAGGTGCCGCCGAAGCGAATGTGGAAGCATGGGTCTCTACCTATTGTGACTTTACTGAGAATCCCAACTCACCACCCTCGCACAGGTGGCAAAGAAGATCCAGTCAGAATCACCCCCTCAGAAAGCGGCAGGGCTGGGGCCACGGAACGAGGTCAGTAGGACGTGATTGCCTGTATAATAACATCAGGAAAGGTCCCACCTACATCCAGCCCAAGTTGTCCTGCCTCCTTCAGTTTCCCAGATATCTGTACCCTGGCTCCAGGAAAATGCAAAGACCCACGCTCCATTTGACCTGCAGGGGGCGGGGCTGTGCTAGTCCTCTCCCCTTCCAGGCCCAGGAGTCCCAGCTCTAGCTCGCTCCTGCCTCAGCTCTCGGAAGTATACGCCCCCCTTCCCGCCCCAGTCCTCATCCTCTAGGAGTCGGAGCCTCCGGACCCCTCCTCCCTAACCTCGGCGGCAGACTACACTCCCTTCTCTCCCAGACGCTCTCAGCCTCTTTCCTCAGACGCAGAAATCCCAGCCTCAGACCCCTCCTCACCCAGGCCCTAGGGGTCCTAGGAGTGCTCAGCTCCTCCTTTAGGCCGTCAGAGTTTGGGATGCGTCCCCAGCCCCCGTGGGGTTAACCGAGGGCCGGGGAAGAGGGAGGGGCGGGGTTTCTGGGGGCGGGAAGGCGGGGCTTGGGTCTCGGAGCCTGAGACCGGCTAGGAAGGAGCGAGGTCCTCTGAGCAGCTCCCTGGTAACTTCAGGCCCGACAGGTCGGGCTGGCCTGGCCGAAAGCGGGAGGGACTTTAACTCGGTTTTTTCCTTCCTCCCCAGGAGCGGCAGCATAACCGGTTTGAGAGTGGATAATTCTCAGCCCCGCCCAATTTGCAGATTGCACCCCAAGCCTGGAACTGGGGCCTTGGACTCCCTCGAGGAGAGGAGGAGCAGGAGCTCTGGGAACCTGGGAGGAAGAAGCTGTGAGCATGCACGCACCCTTGGGTCTTTCTAGCTGTGCATCTGAGAACCCAGACCCCTGAATCCTAGCTGTCAGAGACGAGATTCAGGAAAACGTTTTTAGAGAGCAGGCCAGTGTAGGCCAAAAACCAGTAGGACATTTCTAACCCATGTTTTCGGGAAACTGCTCTAGATTCATTGAAGGGACGGAACATAGGGCTGGGCATAGATCTAGACAGTGGATGCTGTGAAGACGCCTGCGTGCAAAAGAAACCCGTGCTTCCACGTTCACGGGGGGGTAGGGGTGGTGTAAGATCTACACATTAGGCTTAAGTACAGGAACATAATCTAGAGCCAGGTCGAGAACTTAGAACTAGCCAAAAGCAGCCCCATAAATTAGAGTGTCTGGGTCACCCCAGAACCCCAAATACAGAGAGGAGCATCATGCTACCAAGAACTACGGTACCAAGGAACAAACCACATGCAACACATAGCAAGACTAATGAGATGTAATCTAGGACCCAGCACGCACTAGGGACCAAGCGATTAGCACAGAATACGGCAATGGTCACATGCTTGTTTGGTCAGAAGACAAACTGTGGTACAGCATTTCAACTTGGGCGCAGCAGAATGGCTCCCACAACAAGGCTGGCAAGAAGGACCATCCTGCCATCAATGAGGTGGTGACCCGAGAGTACGTTAACATTCACAAGTACATCCATGGAATGGACTTCAGAAGCGCGTCCCTCGAACGCTTAAGGAGATCTGGAAATTTGCCATGAAGGAGGTGGGGACTCCAGATGTGCACATTGATACTGGGCTCAACAGAGCTGTCTGGGCCAAAGAAATAAGGAACGTCCCATACCTTAGCTGTATACAGTTGTCCAGAAAATGTAATGAGGATGAAAATTCACCAAACAAGCTCTATACTTTGGTAATCTATGTATCTTTTACCACATTCAAAAATCTCTGGACAGGGCTGGGGATTTAGCTCAGCAGTTCGGTGGCCTGCCTTGCAAGCGCAAGGACCCGAGTTCAATCCCCGGTGCCAAAAATAAAAAATAAAACAAAAATCTCTGGACAGGGCTGGGGATTTAGCTCAGCAGTTCGGTGGCCTGCCTTGCAAGCGCAAGGACCCGAGTTCAATCCCCGGTGCCAAAAATAAAAAATAAAACAAAAATCTCTGGACAGAGAATGTGGATGAGAACTTTCACATAAAGTTACAAAACTATTATTAAAAACAAAAAGCCTCAGTGGTAGAGTACTTGCCTGGCATGCACTTGGCCCTGAGTACCTTGGGGAGGTAGAAGACAAAGTAACAAAGATTAATTGCTAATAGAATCAGAAAACAAGAAATGGGCTCAGGGATTTAGCTCAGAGGCACCACACCTGACTCCTAAGCACAAGGTCCTGAGTTCAGTCCCCAGCACCAAAAAAAAAAAGAAAAAGTCGTGCTCTGAAACTGAGATTTAGCTCAGTTGGAATAGCACTTGCCTAGCATGTCCAAGGCTATAAATTCAATCCCTCACACAAGAAAAAATAAACTAAACAACTGCTCTGGAGTTCAGAACATCCCATAGAGATGAAGAAAAACAGACTGTAACAAGAAGTTTATCTGGAACTTGAAAGTACCTGGAGAAAAGTGCAGAAGGATGGAGATGAGATTAAGCAAGAATTGAGAATTTCCTGAGAGCTAGGCATGGTGGTGCGTGCCTGTAAATACAGAACTCTGGAGGCTGAGGTAGAGGGTCCCACAAGTTCAAGGCCAGCCTGGGTTATACAGCAAGTTCAAGGCCAGCCTGAACTACATAGCAAGACCCTGTCTTTAGAAACCAACCTAAAACAAAAATTTGCTGAGCTAAAGACTGAACTGGCAAGGGAGAGGCGTGTTCTGGAAATGGGAACATTCTAAGCTGAAGACTCTGGAGGAGGAGAAAGCCTAGAACATGCTGAGGATGCCAAAGTGGCAGATGGCAGAGAAGTCCACAGTGCGCCAGGTGACAAGTTTTACACTAAGGCCACAGTAGAAAAAAACACAGACAAAGGAGGCAGCCATGGATGGGCCTAGAACCTAGAACCTGAGGAAGAAAAATGTAGAACAACTCATGAGCAATCTTCTAGATTTAAGGTTGTGAAATAAGATAGAACATAAAACAAAGAAATTAATTTTAGAGTCAATAGCACACATTGGAGGAAGGCTAGAGTATATTATAGAACACATTCTAAAAATTAGAATGTTCTGCCAGGCGTTGTGGCACACACCTGTAATCCCAGCACTTGGGAGGCTGAGGCAGGAGGATCACTGTGAGTTTGAGACCAGCCTGAGCTACACAGTGAGTTCCAGATCAGTCTCAACTACATAGTGAGACCCTGTCTCAAAAAAACCAAATAAAATAAAATAAAATAATGTTCTTAGGAAGAGAACACAACCTAGAATATCGAGGATGTGAACACGACTAAAATGGAAATTTAGTGGAGCCTAAGAAGTGGTTGCTAGAAATCTAGAACAGGTCTGCAGAATTTGGCTTTGGGACATTATCTAGATATTTGACGAGATAAAATGAAAAGAACATGGCTAGAATTTAGCAGCTAGTCTGGAACTTCAGTTGTGCCCTGGGTGAAAATAGAATATAGACATCCTCTGGGAAGATTCTATGATTGAAAAGAAATCTAGAACATGGAGCAATGAAACAGCACCAGTGTAACTAGAAACATGGGAGCCTTTAGGGAGGTAGGTTCTAGATCATCCAATGAGTCTAGTAGACCTCAGAATCCATCTGAAGGAGTGGGTGGAGAATGGGCTCATTGGCCTGAGTGTACTCAGGCAACATCGGGACATGGAGCAAAGAGGCAATGCATCACTGGAAACATCTCAAAAATTCGGGTCTTAGGGGAGAGAGGAGAGTGGGTTCCAGAAGCCTAGTGTCTGACTTGCTATGAGGATGAAACGGAGGTTTATCAAAGCCACAGGAGATGTTCATTTGATGAGGGTCATGAAGCCATGAGGTTCTAGGTCCCTAAAAGTTAGATCTGAGGAGGTGGATTCTGACGTGAACAGAGCTGGAGGTCTGGACTCCTGAACCCTTGTGGAGATGGGAGAGGAGAAATTGGAAGTTTAGAGCCTGAGTCTTTTGGGGATGGGAGGCTGGGGCAGATGGTCTGGGTAAGGGCTGAGGGGCAGTACAGAAGCTGGGCTCTAAGCTCCAAGGTCCTGTGAGGATGTGGGACTGGGGACCAGGTGGTTAGGTCTGCCCCGGCGGGAGGGTGGACAAAAGCTGAGGAATTGCATTTCAGAGTCTTGGAAGGAAGCGAGTCAAGGCGCCTGAGTTCCTAAAGGAGCAGATGCTGGGTACCAGGAGGCTGAGTAGGTTTTTCTGAGGGGCACGGGGGCTGTTCAGCTAGATGCTGGGGGAAAGCTGGAAAGTGGGATTCCTGGGACCCATCAGCCTGGTCCGGCAGATGGGGGAGCACTGACTGCCTTCCAGAATGGGTAGGAATTGGGTGCCACGGTGCCAAGGTCCCTGCGGTGGACAGGGCAGGAACATTCAGTAGCCCTGGCTCCTCAGGGAGCAGCTAAGGTCCCGGAAACCTCGGGTGCTGAGGCCGAGGCCGAGAGTCTGGCCAGCGGGACCCTGCGGCCCAGGTCGGGGACAGCCCAGGTATCCCCGGGTCACAGGCGCGGCGGGGGATATCCCCCCTCGCTGCCCGCTCCCCCTCCCTGGCGGCAGCGGCAC